CACATTTTTAGTGTATGCACATTTTTGAAAATATTCAGCTGACACATTTGAAGGCGTTTAGAAAAACTGGTCATAAGCTATGATGAGAGCAGTGATAAGTAGGTGTAGCCCTTGGGAAGCATAGTGTGATACAACTTGGGCTAAAAAAAACCCCAAAATCAAGATGGTAATATATGATGTAATGGTTTTGTATTACGAGTAGCATTTTGGATACAAAATACTACCATGGCATTCTGGAAAAATGGATTATATATTCAGGCTGTTATTTGATGTACAACCTGAAAATCTGCATAGACTTTTCAAGTAAAAATCAATAGGAAAACCTGTTTGCAAAGCAGCATTTTTGAATGCATTCACATTCACTTGTGGACTTCAAAATGTTGCCTCTCCTCACTTCGCAATATTAATATAAATAAAGTTATTTGTAATCTAGATCGGCACAAAAATGTTATCTATAGATTATCAAATGTACCATATTACATATACAAAATTTCTACTTATATCTTTACTCAACAAAATCTTTTAATTTGACTTCAGTTCTGTTCTCTTTCACCATTTTTGATCAGTTTATAATAGAACTGATTCAGAATGTACTGCTCTGACTTGCTATATTATATCCAAAGGAACAAGCAGGATACAATTCATTCTTGTAACCTTCCAAGTCACAAGAAAGCCTTTGTGAGTTTTCACAGTCATGTGCAAAAAAAAGTACACCCTCTTTGAATTCTATGGTTTTACGTATCCAGGACATAATAAAAAATCATCTGGTCCTTAGCAGGTCTTAAAAGTAGGTAAATACTATCTCAGATGAATAACAACACATGATTTATTAAACCATGTCATCATTTATTGTACAAAAAGAAAACCAACATGGAGAAGCCATTTTTCACATGACTACACATTCAAATAGGTGAAAACCCAGAAGACATTGTTATTTGTTGTTTCAATTTATTGAGCTAGATGCACTTAAGATAATCATGATTATGTTTTTTGTACATGGGAAGTTCCAATACAGTAAACATATTAGGATTTTTTTTTTGCAAATTTTAGCAAATAAGTCACACTTAATCAATAGCTAGATTTCTCTACTAATGGACTATGCCAATTTGGGTACCATAATATATTAGGGCTCCCGTGTACATGTGTTTTAGTTTCCTGCATGTATAAAAGTAGAGTGATGGAGTTTGGAAGATGTTCTAATCTAGTTTTCTCTTTGACATCTTAAATGTAGGAATTGTAATATTTCTATATGACACAAGTTTTCCAGGAGCTCAATATTGCTTACATCCATTTTATTTTATTTTTTTAATGAAAGAGGTTGGGCATGGAGATTGTAGCTTTTAGTGTCATCCACTTTGATTCCCTGTGCAATACAGTTCTCACTGGCCCTAATTTAAGTTTTTTAAAAAAAAAAAGATTTTTAGTTTTAAACAAAGACAAACAAAACATAAAACATAAAACCTTCATCAATTACATCAATTACATGTAGCGTGTCGTTTGGTTACAGGCTTTTGTGTATTCTTTCCATAATCACCACTTTCACTTGTATATAAAATCACAAATTATTCATCAAATATACATAGATACCTTATTATCATCGTACATCATTTGTTTAGTTATAATTGTTATTACTTCATTTAAAAAAATATTCTAGGTATTGGGTTCATATAATTGCATCATTCTTAGTCTATTTAATAATAATATGCCTTTATAATATCACCCATATCATTCTATTATTCTTACAGTATAAAAAATTCTCCAACATTTTTCATTTCCATGGTTTTTTTTTCTAACCACTGATAAAACAAATCCCATACCTAATAAAATTGTTCATCTTCTTGTTCTCTAATTTCAAATGTCAATTTACTCACTTCAGCACATTCCATTATTTTTCAAATAACTTCCTTCTGCATTGGTATTTTCTCATTTTTCCAATGTTTTGCAAATACAATTCTAGCAGCCGTTAAAGACATTTACAATCAAATATTCCAAGTCTTTGTTGTATATTTCCGGTATAATTCCCAATAAAAAAAATCTCTGGTTTAAAGTCTATGTGTTTTTGTATCATTTTCTCCAACCACGTGTGAATTTTAGTCCAATATCTTTTAGCTTCTGTGCAAGTCCACCACATATGGTAATATGAGCCTGGTATCTGATGACATTTCCAACACTTTTCAGATTTGTTCTTGAACATTCTTGCTATTCTCATAGGGGGTAAATGCCACCTGTAAAAACATTGTATACAAGTTTTCCTTATATGCTGTTGACATTGTGATTTTATAGGTTTGAGACCACAATTTCTGCCATTTCTCTAATTCAATCCCATGGCCAAATTTTTTTCTCCAAGCTAGCATAGGTTCTTTAACTTGTTCTTCCTCTAGTTTAACCTCTAGCAAGTGTCCATATAGTTTTTAAATCACTTTTTCATCAGTCAAAATTTTATCTAGCTCAAGTCATTTTATCATAGAAACCTGTTTTACAATCTTTATTGTATCTAGATTGTATTTGCACATATGAAAACCAATTCATCTTTATCCCTTCCTGTTCCAAGTCTTGTATAGATTTAAGTTCACCCTCTGCATTCAGTATTTCACCATATCTAACTGTTTGTTCCTTTTTGTATATTATTGGATATGAAAAAGCTTCAATAGTTGATAGCCAGACTGGAATGCTAATTTAAGCTTTTAAAAAAGCAACTATATAATAATTCTTGCTTGCTATAAGAGAAAGTGGCGAAGGGGGAGGAAATTCTGAATTTGATCTACAGTAGTTTAATTTGAGATATCCATGTTAAAATAAACTCTGGTAATTTGGCTGCCTTATATTATTTAGGGAGAAATGAGAGGAATGCAGCCATAATAGCCGAGCCTATCTACCCACCAGATAATAGCCAAATATTTTTGCTTGCTTGAGAATTAAGAAAGATTGAAAGATTGTGCCACTACCTTAAACCTATCTATCTAAGATTATTTTGGAAAAGATGTCAATGAGATTGTGTGATAAAGTTGCTACATATTGTCCAGCAATACAATGCTGCATTTCACCCAAAAAATGAAACTAAAAAGAGGATAACAAAAATAGCTGAAAATTAAAAAAAAAGATAATTTCCTCTAAAGTTGCTCCTGTTTAAAAAATTCTAAAACTTAATATTTCTAAATGGAAGTAGTGGGATTGAATGCATTTTCTGCCTCTGGGCAATATGACTTTTGCATGGCCCCTTTATAAAATTATTAGGATTTAATATTAACCTTAAAATATGGATAGAAAATAGAAATTAAAAAAAGCAGTCGGTGAGTAATACTAAGTGGAAGTTTGTTTTCTAGAGGTCGAATTCGCATGGAAAAATAGGATTAAATTAATTCTGATCTTATTTGGACTTCTAATAGCTGATATCAGTAATTTTGACTCACATTATCTCCCAGAGACAGTGACTATTTTATGTAAGAGGGATAGAATCAAGATCACGTGAAGTGTTATACCACTTTATAATGCCTTGGTAAGGCCACACTTGCATTCAGTTTTGGTTGCCACGATGTAGAAAAGATGTGGAGACTCTAGAAAGAGTGCAGAGAAGAGGAACAAAGATGATTAGGGGACTTGAGATTAAAACATATGAAGAACAGTTACAGGAACTGAGTATGTCTAGTTTAATGAAAAGAAGGACTAGGGGAGACATGATAGCAGTGTTCCAATATCTCAGGGGTTGCCACAAATAAGAGGGAGTCAAATTATCCTCCAAGGCACCTGAGCATAGAACAAGAAGCAATGGGTGGAAACTAATCAAGGAGAGAAGCAACTTAGAACTGAGGAGAAATTTCCTGACAGTTGGAACAATTAATCAGTGGAACAGCTTGTCTCCAGAAGTTGTGAATGCCCCAACACTGGAAGTCTTTAAGAAGATGTTGAATAGCCATTTGTCTGAAACAGTGTAGGGTTGCCTGCTTAGGCAGGGGGTTGAACTTAGAAGACCTCCAAGGTCCCTTCCAACTCTGCTATTGTATTGTATTGTATTGTATTGTATTGTATTATGTGGTGTGGTTTTGAGTTACTTAGTAACTCTCAATATTTGGATTAGTTTTGGCAGCTCAGTAGAATGGGAAAAAAAACCACTTGTGAAAGATCAAATTCCTCCATAATTAATTAAACTGACATTTAATTTCCATAGATCTTTATGGTTGTTGTCAGAATATTTTATGACATACAAAGCCAAGGGAACCACTAATTCCTTTCATTAACATGGCCTACAAACAACCACACTCTATAGACAGGAACGCCTGCTGGCGTCATAATTGTGGCAGAACAGAAATAGGTGACAGAGGTTCTGTTAGGGGGGCTTTCCCACTGGTTGAAAGGTAGTGTTTTTAATCTCAGCGGTAAGGAAGAGACTCCCAAACACGCTCCCCAAAGTAAGTGGATTCCCCACCTAGGTCTCCTAGGTAAAAAGGTAAAAGCCTACGAGCTTGGGTTTGCAATCCATCGGGTTTCTATCAGGTGGTGCGAGAGTGGGAAAAGCGTCCCAAAGAAGGAAAAAAAACTTGGAAGGGGAGGGAGGACAGATGGACAGAACGGTCCACAACTCTCCGGCGAATGCCTGGTAGGATCGTCGAGGGAAGAGCATGGAATAGCTTCATCATCTTCCCCTCAAATTAGGAGCTCCGCAAGACCAAGCGCTCCCGCATCAATCCTGCAGGGGGCGCCGTAGCCAATCCCTGCGAGGTCCTCTCCCCCCACCCTCCTGCCTCCTTTCCTATTCGATGCAAACGTCCCCCGGGAGCCGCCTTTTGGATGGACTCCAAAGAGACTGGAAGCTTCCCAATAAAGCCTCGTACCGGCCTGATTTTCCTAACTCCTAATTGGCTGGCTCCCGCGTCAAACACCCGTACGAATCCTCAGGGACAAACCTGACGAGGGGAGGGGCTAGATGCTTGGCTGGTGAGGGGGGGGGGAGTGGTTAAAATTAAGGTAACACCGGCCGTCGCTGACACGTAACCTGCGCATTGTTCTCGGCGTTGGCGCATTGTGCGTTGCGTAGGGAACCCTGGTGGCGGCGCTGTTGCTGCCGCCGCGGTTGTCATCTCGTGCGGACAGGCCGCCGTCATGGAAGGGAAACCTGCCGACCAGCTGCTGTGTGACAGCCTCATCCTTTGGGTAAGTGGCGGGGGGGGCAGGGGGAGGGAAGGGGGACCCTCCCCCCCGCCTCTTGGTCTAATTCGAGCAGGAGCCCCCATCACTCCCCCTTCCCTTTACCCTCTTCCTCGTCGCCTCGAGCCGGTTCCGCGCGCCCTTCAGACTCACCGTCGCGAAACCACACGACGTTGGGGAGGGCTGGTGTTGTGGGAAGGCGCCGTTCTGCACAGGTGACGGCAATATCGCCCTGGAGCGGAGTTGCAAATCCAATATGGAGATCTCCGCGCTCCTCTCTCGCTTCGCTTTCTCTTGCTCTTCTCACAGACTCAATGTGGGTTGCCGTGTTCAGACGGTCACGGACGGTCTATCTTGGAGCTGCAATCTGGCTCCCCGCAAACCCGCCTCTCTGGCCTGCGTGTTTAACGCTGCCTTGATCTCCCTTCCGCATGAAAATGGCCCGGGGTGCACTTTACGCGTATGGGTTACGCTTATATTGGGAGCCTCTTTGCAGGGAGAACTTCCCTTTGGTGGGTCGATAAAAGTTTAAAAATGGTTCTCAATGGGATACCCAGTGAGTAATTCTCCAGTGTAACCTGTTTAGAGGGAGGGAGGGAGGGGGAAAGTGGGACATTTGAACCCTAAATGGGCTTCTGTGTCAGAGCGGTTTTAGACACACAGGTTTCCAATGCCGCCTTTCAATCAATAATCAATATGGAGTGAATCTTGTTTTCCTTCCATATCAGAGTTTTCTAGGAATCAGCGCTAGGAAATCATGGAAGATAATGTGAGAGATATGAATCCCGACTCCTTTAGAGACACCTACTTGTTAAAGGACCAGGAGAAAAATCTAAAGGGTGACAGCAGCTTTCCAGTATCCTTTCAGGTTCTGTCAAAGCTTGTGTGAAAATGTTACTTTTTTTTAAAGCTGTCACTAATGGTTTTTAATACATTGCCAATGGAAAACTTAGGGTAGGTCTTTCAGCTTTTCTTTGGTTTTGAAAATAAACTTTGAGACATTTTACTAGCTGTTGTAGGAAATGGAATATAGACCAACAACATGCACCTGAAGACTTATAGAATAGAATTCTTTATTGACCAAGTCCTGCAGTCATAAGTGGGAGGAGATGGGTGATAGGAATGATGAGAAGACTAATAGTAATAGTAATGCAACCTTAGTGAATGGCTTGACAGTGGTGAGGAAATTATTTGTTTAGCAGAGTGATGGCGTTTGGGAAAAAACTGTTCTTGTGTCGAGTTGTCTTGGTGTGCAGTACTCTATACTGTCATTTTGAGGGTAGGAGTTGAAACAATTTATGTCCAGGTTGCCAGGGATCCACAGAAGAGTGAATTGTTAAGCTGTGTTATATACCACAGGAATGCATACATTCTATATGAATTAAGATGACTTTTACTACTCTGCAGGATCTAAAAATAAGGACACTGAAAATATTTATATGGAGAACGTGAATATTCAAGCAGGCATTTTTGAGGGTGTATATAGAGGATGTGCCTGTCTGCTGTTTCCGGAAACAGGTTCTATCTTGTTTTGGAATTAGAAACTTTTTTTAAAACTTTCATTGCAAGGTATTTGATTGTTTTTTTCCCTCCACAAGTTATAGTGTTGGTGGTTAAAAAACATAAAATCAAGAAATCAACAAAGTTGTTATCAATCTTCCTTATTAAATATTTGCATACTGCACAAATCTCATTTACAATATTATATTTAAAACAATATTCAAATAATCTAATAATAACCCAATTCTTTATTGTAACTTGCATTCCACTCAGTTCTGTTTCATTTATTATCTAATACTTGTAATCAGCTTAATATTGCTTTGTCTTTTAAAAATAATGAAGTTACTGGTGATGTTTAGATAAATAAGCCATTATTGTCCCTTTGCTCTTTTATTATGGAAAAAAAAGTTTACATTGAACCAGTTTGGTCTAGTTGTTTAATGCACCAGGCTAGAGAATAGGAGACACTGAGTTCTAGTTCTGCTTTAGGCATGAAAGTCAGCTGTGTGGCTTTGAGCCAATCATTCTTGCTCATCCCAACTCACCTATTGTGGGGAAAAATAAGAAGAGGAAGGAGTATTAGATATGTTTGTCACCTTGAATTATTTATAAAAATAATAAAAGTGAGATAAAAATATTTCAAAAATTTGTTTACAGTATGCATACTAGAAGCTTGATTTAAGAGATAAGATGAGATAACCTTTATTGTCATTTTTTCTGTGTACACACTGGAACATATTAAAAATATTCTGATTCCTGTTCTAAAAAGAATGTATGTGTGCGTGTGCATGTTCCTGTATGTATGTATAATATACATATTCAAGTTATCTTTTTATTATTTCTTATATGTGATGAGGAAGAAATTATATTTGATTTATTACTTGTTTTACAAATGCATGACATAAAATTTGACAGGTTTAACATCAGTGATGGGGCTCTGATGACTAACTGTAGGTTTTAAGAGTAATTTAAAGTGATCATTGTGCCAGAGCAGTAATAGTTTTTTTATGGAAATACTTTCATATTGTTAGAGATAAGTAATTTATAACTTAGCAAGTAAAAGCTACTAGTTAGTTATTTTTATTGCCATGCCATCAGAAATAAGATACAGTCCAAATTAAGCAACTGTGACTTTAATTTGGAACTTTACTGATTAGTTTCCTTGCCTGCTTTTTTTTTTTACAACATAGTACAAAAAATCTTTTTTATACAAATATATAGGCATTTGAACAGTGTATTTGATTTAAACCCAAAACCATTTGGTGGAACTAGGTTCATTTTTTGTTTTTCAGATAATAGTTGGAAATTAAATTGGTCAGATTTTCTTATTCATGGACTACCACTGACTGAGTTGATTATAATTATAAATGGATTTTGAACCCAAAAGAATCTGACAGTATTCTACAAGAAGGGAATATTTACTACTCAAGGGCTGCAGATGGTGGTTTTGTAGTTCACAAGAGACTCTAGAATTCCTATAATAGAGAAATAAATGAAAATGACTGGTGCTTCTAAATCTAATGAAGCAGAAAAATACTTTTAAGGTTAAACCAAAAACAAAACCATGTTCTCTCTCAGCCAATTACTTAAATTTCCTAAATTTAATTTTAATTACTAAAATTCTTGATTTCCAAGCAATTAGACAGTTAGTGAAGATTTTGAAATGAACACCTGTATTCATTTCTGCAGAAGGCCAATGTTCCATGGTACACAATTTGAAAAACATTAGTTTAGCTGTTCCCAAAACATTCAAATTAGTTTATAACCAGTTTTTGTTTTGTTTTTTAATATTTCTTTGTATCGTATGAAAGAGTTTCTGGGTTTTAGACGAAAGGAAACCAAGTGTGAAAAGGTGTAATGAAAAGGTAGAAAACTGGTTTGTTAACAGTTTTTGTCACTTTACATCCCTTTGCATTTTTTTTCATCCTAATAGATAGTTAGGTGGTAGTGCACATTTTTAACACTTGAACTTCCCACCATTTCTTGTCAATCTTAATACTTGCATGTAATTCTTGATTATGCAGAATTACTTTTTTGGGGGAGGGAACCTTAATCTTTTTTCCTATAGAATAAAAAACAATACTGTTTACAGGAAAATAGTATAAGCTGCACATCTTTATTATATTAGATTTGCATTTGCTGTTCCTGCTGCAAATGCAAATCTAATATAATTACCTGGATAGCTGAATTGGGCATCCAGTTATGAGGCCACTGCAGAAATTTTGTATATAATTGTGTGGATTGTGTACTTCTATTTGTCATGGTCTCATCATATAAGTAAGAAAGTAAATTGCTGCCCCAAACTGTAATTAGTTAATAATTTTCTGGCAATCAATGAAACAGTAATACAAATATAATAAGATATCCATAAAAAACTAAAAGCTATAAATTAACCATCAGAACAAACCAATAGTGTCAATTTATGTTTCATAGACTTTCCAGAAGATATACTGTCATATTTTCTTTTTTTAAGTATAAATGTATGCTTTTGCTAAGAGTTAAAAATTGAAAACTCTGGAGGAAAGTGGCTGCCAATAACATGAAAAAATATTAAGAGTAAATAATTACTGTTTCTCTGTAGAGGCATGACAGTGGTGGGTTTCAATTTTTTTTAGAACCTCTTATGTAGGTGTCGCCTGCTTTGTGAGAGTGGCTTGCTGGCTATGTGACCGGGTGGGCATGGCCAACTTGTAAAATGTGGTGAAATTCACTTAACAACTCTCTTGCTTAGCAACCAAAATGTTGGCTTAGAAACTGGGCATTTGAAGCGTGAAAGTCTTAAAGCTGTCAAGTTACAAGACCCTTGCACCCCTAACCCTTTAGAAAAAAAAACCCAGGGGTGTTCAAACTTGACAGCTTTAAGACTTGTGGACTTCAACTCCAGAATTCCTCCTCTTGCTCTTCATCTTGATGATGTGTGGACGGACAGGAGGGAGCTGGAACCGGTTTTAAACGGCACTAGATTTGTGGAACCTCTTCTATAGAAGAGGTTAGAACTGGCAGGAACCCACCCCTGAGACATGTGCATTATAGAACATGTAGTTTTAATCAGAAAGTATGCTTAGAATGAGGACTAAGGGTATCTGAATAATTTTCAGTTGCCTAAGAACAAACAGACTATAAGAATATAGGAATGCTGAGGAAACTAAAATATTGAACTTTGGATACTTTCAGATTAGTGCAAATGAAATAGCTGTTGCCACCTAAGCATATTATAGCATATGCATGATTGTAATGAACAGGTTCCTTTCAGTGCCCTGTATTGGAACAATACATGTACATCCTAAGTATTCAGATCCTGTTTACAGTATGATGGCAATCCAGTACCAAATATTCTTCTTAAGTGAGGCAAAGAATAAAACTATGAGCTGAAAGTGTATTTCTACTAGTACAAACTGATTTTCTTGGCATAATACAAGAGGGAAGATTAATGTTCTCGCAGTTGTCCTTAGATGAATCTTCTCCTTAGGATCTGCAGATCCCTCTGTTTACAACAAGAAAGTAGGAAAGGACAGCAGGAACGATGAAAACACAAAATCATTTGGTGGAACATTGGATTCTACCTAATACTTTCAGATATTCAAATATTGTTGGAAATATTTTTAATAATAGAAAAATTACTCTTCTGAGAAAAAAAATCACTTGGCAGAAGTATAGTCTTTCATTCCAGCTTAATCAAAATTATCAGACACATAGGTCTGCCATGACTGCCTTATCTGTCAGTCTGTAAATGAAACATTTAACACATATAAAGTCTGGTCTCAAAAATGCCCAAGAGAATATTAAAATTTCAAGAATTCTTGTTCATAAATCTGCTCAAAGTCTGAACAAAGTTTAGTACCCTCCCTTTTAATATATCTGTACAGATGAAATGTTTGCTTTGAGTTCTATTAAGATGGATTGAGATTATTAATTTGATTGAGCAAAGATTCATTCTACATATAATTTGCCAATCGACCACTCAGCTAGCCTACTTCGCACCCGCAGTATGATGGGCTACTTTTATGTATAATGGTGACATTATTTTTTATTTGCTTGCTATCCTAATCACTTTGTGATTTCTTTTCCTCCAGCTGCAGACATTTAATATTGCTAAATCCTGCAGAGAAGTACAGGACTTAACAAATGGTGTAGCTCTGGCATATGTTCTTCATGAAATGTAAGTTGTTATTATTTTTCATTATTGAACCTACATACCACCTGGTTCCCAACAGTGAAATTTCAATACAATTAAAAAGAAGTGATAAGAATGACAGAACAGATAGAATGAAGCAGGGAATCTCAATTCCCTTATCAGAGGTGTGGTTGAAGAGCTTTTCTAATGAACAGCAAAATAAGGAGAACACTTCATTCCAGAGAATAGCTGATGCTACAGAAAAGGTGTACTTCTTCTCAATAGATGATATTCTTTAATCAAAGGAACTAGAATGTACCAGTGCTGAATCAGTTGGCTAGATATATGGAGACAGGCAATCCATCAGGTAACTATGCTAAATGCCAAGTAGAGCTGTATAGGTAACAACCAATACCTTGACATGTACCCAGAAACAGACTGACAACTAGTGCATCTCATGAAGGAGAGGTATTACATAGGCATACTGAAGCATACTGGGTGGGCAAGCTGGAAGTGGGCTTTTTCAGGCCAAATAGGGAGCTAAATCTTGAACAAAACATGAGCGATAGCTAGAAGTGAATCTTCTGCCAATCATAATGTAATTACATATTTAGTTTTACTCGTGGAGGATGCATATATTCATTTAACACTTTTAAGGGCTTTGTGTGTTGCGAAGTTTGACAACTTTGAATAATTTAAAATTATCTGAATTATATTAAAGCATGGACTCAGTTAAATGAAAAAGACTTCTGACAGGCTGTTAATTATTTAAAAGAATTATTAAATTAATATGCATTACCAAATTGAAAATATCATGTGTTATCCTATTACTCTATGGGAAAACAAGTAGGGAGAAAGTGACAATTGCAGAAATTGGGCCACCATAGGCGATTGGGAAGATGGAGGAGATACAAGCATGCTAAGATCACTTATAAAAGTAGAAAACAATATTTAAAAACTTATATGGAAAACCCTGAAGACTATTATTCTATCCAGTAAAAGCTGTAAATAGTTATTAACTTTACAATACCATAAAATATTGGATGTATGTTGAGAACATAATAGAAAGAAAGGGGAGAAAAAATTGAATTAGTTTCCTAGAGTTTCCTAAAGTTTATAGTTCTGTATCCTGAAGAAGGGCATGGCTGGTTAAATTCCTAGGGAGAAACAATCCTTATTATGGAGGAAAATAGGAGATTCTACTTGCAGTTGAATTTAAATTGCAAGTTAGAAGAAAAGATACTCCTTTAGTACTCTTATAGGGATCCAGTGTCTCAGTGGCTAAGACGCTGAGCTTGTCGATCAGAAAAGTTGGCAGTTTTTGGGTTCGATCCCTAGCGCTGCATAATGGATTGAGCTCCCATTACTTGCTCCAGCTTCTGCCAACCTAGCAGTTCGAAAGCATGTAAAAATGCAAGTAGAAAAATAGGAACCACCTTTGCTGGGAAGGTAACAGTGTTCCGTGTGCCTTCGGCATTTAGTCATGCCGGCCACATGACCACGAAGATGTCTTCAGACAGTGCTGGCTCTTTGACTTTGAAATGGAGATGAACACCACCCCTACAGTCGGGAATGACTAGCACATATGTGCAAAGGGAATCTTTACCTTTTACCTTTTAGTGCTCTTCAAGGCGATTGTCACTTCATAGCTATTCTGGGGTGCATATAGTAGAAAGTCACATGTGCTTGTCACCACTCAATTTTCAGAAGTATCCCCTAAACCGCAAAGCACTACATCACTAGATACAGTCCAGTTTGCTTTGCTACATAAGACATGATTGTTTCCTGTTTATTGCAGCGAAACAAGATTGAAGCTGGCCGGTGAAATTCAGTTTCATCACCACCACCACCCAAAAAAATTAATAGAGATTGATTTTATTTCAGCGATCCTGCCTGGTTTGACAAAGCTTGGCTAAGACGTATTAAAGAAGATGCTGGTGAAAGCTGGAGAATAAAGGTAATGGAATATCTTATCAATATATACAATATTTACCTAGGTTATAATGCTGAAGTTAAAAATACAAATAAACATATTTTAGATTACGGTATATGATATTTCTTGCTTGTGATTCAAAGGGTTCCTAGACGAAACATGCTACGTGTATTGTTAAAACTTTTTTATATCTTTGGGAAAGATCCCAGATTGGTTTGGAGAGTATATGAACAGTAAACATAGAAGTATCAGATTGTGCATGGGTTTTTGTTTTTCCTATAGATCAGGTTGCTGTATTATTTTGAGGCTATGGGTTCAAGTAGTAACCATGACATCTGTTGATAAGGCATCTGAAACCCCTAGATGAGACCTGGACATTTTACAGACATCCAGCCCTTCAGTTGTCCCTGTTCAGCTTGGAAATTAAATAGGATTTTACTATTTAATAAAATCTCCCTCATTGGTACCAGAAGTACCAATAAGGGGGAAGGTTCTTTACCGCCTCTCGCACTTCAGAAAGTGGGTAGTCCAATCCCTCCTAGGGCCACTGAAGGCCTGGTGGACTGATCCCTCCAAGCCATGTATGCAGTATAACTGCATTGCTTTTATTTTGAGGGCAGTTGCTATTTTTTTTTTTCAATTTCCAAAGTTTCTCGGAAGACATTTTTTTCACCGACTGTTAGCACCCTCGGCTGCCAACTCTTCTTGGTCCAGTGATTTTGTNGCATGACTAAACGCCGAAGGCGCACGGAACGCTGTTACCTTCCCACCAAAGGTGGTTCCTATTTCTTCTACTTGCATTTTTACGTGCTTTTGAACTGCTAGGTTGGCAGAAGCTGGGACAAGTAACGGGAGCTCACTCTGTTACGCAGTGCTAGGGATTCGAACCTCTGAACTGCTAACCTTTCTGGTCAACAAGCTCAGCATCTTAGCCACTGAGCCATCGCATCCCACATTGAGGACTACATGTATGTAAAAGAACCAGATCAGTGGTCAATTCAGGCCCGTGAGGACAAGCCAATCTCCCCCTGAAGCAGGATTATTCTGCAGAATGTACCTCAGCAAAGACATTTGGAAACTATTTATTTATAAAAAGCTTCGGCCTGTTCTTTTTTTTTTTTAATCGAACAATAAAACCCAAAGCAGCCTCCGATAGGGAGAGATTCATGGAGGAAGAGGCTGTGAATACTAACTAATTGCGAAAACAAAATTAAATCTTCCCGTCAGTATATCTCTTGAATAATGGGTGCGGGAGATGATTATCACTGACAGGCCTTTGCTTGAGAAACTGGAACAGCTATTCTGGGGAAGTCATGCTGTCCTGAGTGGGCAGCAACCCACACTTAAGCTTTATTTAGCCAACCTCCGAAGCGTCCAAGAAACAAGCAAAGTGGCTAGTCTGCTTTGTGTTGGAATAAATGGCCGTAACTTTGAAAATACCCCCCCCAAAAAAGCTTCCCCCCCCTTGCCCGTCAGAGATGGGACAGAATTTTCTGTGGAGCTTACAAGTAGGCCTCAACTTACAACAGTAATTGGAGCAGGATTTATGGTCATACGTTGTGCCAGACGTTAAGCAGGTCATCATAGAGCTGACCCGATTTCCCCCCCCCCCCCGATCAATTGTTAAACGAACCCATTGTCTGCAATGGGGATTTGTGTGTGTGTGTGTGTGTGTGTGTGTGTTGCAGTTCCTCAAAAAAAATAACATAAATCACCATCCTGTGACTGCAGGTAGCTGTAGCAATAGCACTTAAAATTACAGCCCTCTCTAAGTGGTTTACAGAGTCAGCATATTTGCCCCCAACAATCTGGGTCTTCATTTTACCCACCTCAGACGGATGGAAGGCTGAGTCAACCTTGAGTCTGGTGGGATTCAAACTGCCAAATTGCTGGTAGCCAGCAGTCAGGAGGAGTAGCCTGCAGTACTGCACTCTAACCACTGCGCCACCGTGTAAATGTTTAACCGGTTGCTTAACACCCAAAATGTGATCATGTGACTGTGGGGATTAGGGATGGCCACCCGAACTTTGAATCTGGGCTGTATCTTTTTTTTTGGGGGGGGGGTTCCATTGTAACTTCAAAGGGTTGCTAAGCAACTGGTCATAAGTCGAGGACTACCAGTACTGCATTTCTTTGGGCATGAAATAGAGCAGCGACCCCCCTCTTCTGGCTTGCTCTGTTTCTCTTCCGAAGAGGATGGCTTATCTGCAAGAAATTCCTTGTCCTCTACAATTTGCCAGCATTGATGGCTATTGGACGAGGACGTTTTGGGGAGTGGGATGAATGGAAGAAGGGTTCTTCCCTAGGAGAGGATCGACCTAAGAACCCGAGGGCTCTTTAAGGAAAAGATCTTGGTGGGTTCCAGAAATTACCTTCATGGCTTTCTTGGCCACTTCACTGCTGCCAATGACAACGGTGTCAGGTCCCGCCATGCTGCAGAAGCTGCGGAGATGCAACGTCCCCGAGACAGGAACGGTAGATACAGCAAAATCCTGCAGGAAGAGAAAATTGCTTGAGCTTCTGCAAAAGATCAGGGGCCTCTGCAGAACACCTCTTCTCTTTCATACCTCCTACCACCTAGTTCATTTTACCCTTAACCTCACTTGAACAGTATATATAAATCACACTTCACAATTTGAGGCCCGCTGAGTACTACTGGGTTTCAATGATGTTGTTGTTGTTAGTTGCAAAGTCGTGTCCGGCCCATTGCGACCCCATGGGTGATATTCCTCCAGGCCTTCCTGTCCTCTACCATCCTCTGGAGTCCATTTAAGCTCACGCCTTGTGCTTCAGTGACGCCACCCAGCCACCTCATTCTCTGTCGTCCCCTTCTTCATTTGCCCTCCATCTTTCCCAGCATTAGGCTCTTCTCCAGTGAGGCTCAATGCCCATCACCAAATAGCCCAACTTGGAAATCGATGAGATATCTGAATTCAACTCTATTCAGACATCTCCTGGTGGGTCCGGGCAGACTTCTGGAATAGGAATTAGAGTAGTACAAAAATGTTGAATCCTTTCAAGCATGGATCACTTTGGGTAAGCCTGGAGTGGTGCAGAGGCTGCAAGTTCGATCCTAGGTAGAGGCAGATATTTCTCTCTCTGGGAACACTGAGAATATATCTGCTGAACAAAACTCCGCATTGGTGACTGGAAGGGCATCTGGCCATTAAAACACTCTGCTAGTTCCATTCAGTTGCCCTCCAATAGGGAATAAAAGAGGAGTGAAAGGGGAGGGGTGTTTGCAGGAGACAATTAATTAATCCCTGCATTCTTGC